GGGGGCAGCGCCAGCAAGCGCTTCCTGCGGTCCTGCTCCGCCTCCTGCGTGCCACATGGGGCCAAGGACACCGAGTGGAGGTCGGTCACGCTGCCTCGGGACCTGCCGTCCGCCGGGAGACAGTTCGACTCGTCCACCTTCGGAGGGCACAAGAGCGAGAAGCCGGCCCTGCCTCGCAAGCGCACCAGCGAGAACAGGCCCGACCAGGTGGCCAGGGGCACGGGGACGCCCCCGCCCCGGCTGGTGAAGAAGGGCGAGGAGGCCGCGGACGAGGGCCTCAAGGATGCCTGGGAGTGCAGCCCGACTCGGCCCTGGCGGTCTGTGCAGAGTTCATCAGGATTTCACGCTCCTTGCCTTCATCCGCAGGACTAAAGCTGGGTGGGGCTCAGCCCTTGTGCTGCCCGGTTTTCCGGGACACATTGTGCCCCGGCACCTGTGGTCTCTGTCACAAGGCTGACAGGAAGCCTCTTCTCCCAGTGGCCTCAGCGAGGAGTTCTGTCCGTCACTGGCGGGAGCCTGGCAGCACCCGAAGGCTTCAGAGGCGCACTCATCCATGTTGAAAGGGTGCCCGCTGAAGTTTTCACACGGTCACCCCTTCTGCCTTCCCACTCGGGTGACAGCCCCGGGGCTCCTGTCTCTTCCCTCCGTAGTCGTCCTCGTGCAGCAACGCCCGTGGAGGGACAGAGGCCGGGGCATCCGACCGGAGTCCCGCCGTGGGGAGCGGGCCGAGCTTCCCGATGCCAGCCTGGGAGTTTGCCAGGGGCTCGGTGAGGCCTGGTCGCCTCCACGCGGCAGCACCCTCGGTTCTGAGTGAGAGCTGAGGGGCGAAGGGAGGTCGCCCGCCCAGGCCACGGCACGGTGCCGTCTGCCCGCTCAGCTCGCCCCACTGTGTTTCAGAGCCCCCCGACCACGAGCCTGCCGTGTCTCCGCTGCTCCCCCGAAAAGAGCGAGCTGCCCCGGACGGAGGCCTGAATGAGGACGAGCGCCTTCTCTCCAAGGACAGGAAGACCAACCTGTTCAGCGCCTTGATCAAGAAG